TTTCAGCTTTCTAGCTCTTCAACAAACATGATTTCTGGTATATCGGAAAATGCATTTTCCGATTTGCCACGCCCCTAGTGGGCGGATCGGGAAAATTTTAACACTTTATAAATCGGAGATATACACGAGTATGTGTTCCAAATTTCAAGTCTCTAGCTTCAATAGCGCCGAAATAGATTGTGTTCATACGGACAGACGGACGGACGGACAGACGGACAGACGGACAGACGGACGGACAGCAAGACGGACATTGCACAAAACCAATATACTGATTCACTTTCGTGAATGAGTATAAATATATGCTAAAATGTATAAAGTTCAAAAATATTTTAATTTGGGCAAAAATTTAAATAGTTTACCCTTCTCATACCCATATAAGTTTGCCATATAATTTAAAGCTTTGAAGTGCTATAAAACTACGAAGTAGGGCTCTCGGTTTTTCTAAAGCTTTCAAGCTTTTGGTACTCGAAAATTTAACCTTTTAACACCATTAAGAGCGTCAGTTGAAAGTTAAATTGGATTAGAAAATAATTATCTATATATTTGTAAGCTAAAGTTGACTACGCTCCAAGCTCGGGAATCTTGTCAATGCCAGGAAAATTACGTCACGCGAACATTGACTTAACATACGAGGAGCTGAACGAGCTGATTCCCACTCCGTCAGATCCCGTTTGTTTCATCTGCCTTGGCCCAGATTTGAGCGACGTTAATGTCGCTATTTGCTCTGACTGCTGCGTCTTTCGTTTAATGATGATAATTACTCAGTTATATTCGCCACACGGCCCCGCCCCCCTGGGCCCAACCCCTCACATTCGGTCTAATGAGCATGTACACACACACGCACACACGCACACAGAGACAGTGCCATGGCAGTCGCATGCACACCCACTCGAGAGTCTAATTAGAATACAACAAAGCAAGCAAGAAGCAAAGCTAAATTTTTGCCCGTCAGCAATTTGGCCAAAAGTTCATCAGATTGCGCCACCAAGTGCTGATTCTCTGGCGCTGACGACTCTCATCTCACAGACATACGTGGCTGAGGCAGCCCAAGATGTGCCCAAGGTGCAGCAGCCGCACCCAACCAGTGAAGACTACAGCCATGCGTCTGGATCGAGCATTTATTTGTGACAGCCGGCTCTGGATTTCAATTACTTGACAGATAATTGCATGTGGCGCCCACTCCACTACCAGAAAAGCGTCGGGCGTGACGCACCCGACCTGGCCCAGTGCTGGCCGGCCAGCTCGCCCACGGAGGCCATGGCCAGGCCCTGAAGTGTGCTCACGCAGTTGTTGTACTCGGCGACCTGCTTGTTGGCCCTCAGCTGCGTCTCGCAGCCCTTCAGTCCCACCAGAAATGTGTCCAAGACATAGGCGCCATCCTGCTGGGCCTCTGCCGTGGGCGGCAGCTTTTCCTCGATCGCTGCACGCAATGTCCTCTCCGCTACGACGCCTCGCTGCAGTGTCAGCTCAATGGACACATCCTGCGCCTTAGCCAGCACCTGTGGAGACAAATTGGATAGTTCCGAACTCTGTTGAGCGATGCGAATGCAACTCCTACCAGGCACATCCAAACTGAGATCACAATCACCGTTGCCGTTGTCGACATTCTCTGTGTGCGTTCACTCGCCAACTGTTAATCTCCGTGTCAGCAGCATCTGTTATATCTTATCTGGCCGGGCGTTCGGTTAGATAAAAACAATGTTGTAAAATCGCTTGTAAAGGCGCGCTCATATATCTCACGGCACGACATCGCGACGAGGCGTCGTTAACAGCTTTAACCCAGTTAAGTTTTTATAGGCGCTCAGATTTGCTGTTTCTGTTTCTAATATAATCGCTTATCAGCGGGCAACGGAAATGCTAAAAGGTAGCTAATTGCTTCTAATTCAACAGCTAAGCTTATGTAAATATATATATATAAGCACATACATATATATAGATATCACCTCTGCTATCAGGTGAGAAAAGCACACACATAAAAAAAATAGAAACGGATGTGAGTCAAAGCAACTAAGATTTCAGTGCTGCTCCACAATGGCCAGCTTCATTTTGGCTAAAGTGACAGCACGTAAGCCTTGTCCTGGCCACGCCCACGCGCAAGTCACCGAACAACAAAACAAGCCAAAAACAACAACAACATGAAGCTGCTGCCTGCTTTTTGGGGCGCAACTTTTGCATACAAATCCGCAAGCCCAAAAACAAATTTACATACATGGAGCCAGCGCCCGCTGCCCCCCGCTGTCATGTTTTTTTTTTTTTTTTACTTATTTACTTTCTGTTTGTCTTTTTTTCGCTCTTGTTTTGCTAACCAATTTCTGCATACATTTGGCAGTGCGGCTGCTTTTGCTATGTCCACTTCGAGCACTTGAAATGGCGCAACTTTTGCATTACCAGCAGAAGGGGGCGCGCAGTGGGCGTGGCTGGCTGTGCCACAAAACTTAGCAAGGCTCATGCCAAGCCACACACACACACACTGGCATATTTGTTGTAATGACACAAACAAGAAAACCCGAGTTTCAATCTTGGGGCAAATATTTCAATTAAGTGACAAAACTTTGCACTCGCCTTGATCCTTGTAATTCGCCTTGTCATTGTTTTGTATGTGTGTGTGTGTGTGTGTGTGTGGGTGTGGCAGTGCGACATGGCCAACGGCTGTTTCAAAATTTACATTTAATTACATATTTGAATTTGAATTTGAATTTGAATGTGCTTTACCGCATTTGAAAGCGCCAACGAGGCGTATGCGTCATTTGGCCCAATCTGCCATCGGCTTCTGGAGGGCTTCTGGTCATTTGCGGCAAATCTTTGGCTCGTTAAGCCAAACCATTTAATCCCCTTTAATGCCAACAGTTCCCCCAGCCGAAATTCATGCAGCCGCACCAACAACGCCAGATATTGAATGAGGACATAACTACGACAATGATAAGTGCAACTGCATTGGCCACATAAATCAACATTGGTTTGCCAGACGGTCACTCAATGGGCCACTTTGGGCTGGGTATGCGCTCGCAGTCATGCACTGAGCGGCAACATCTAGGGAAGTAAGGGACAGGCACAGCGCCAAGGCAAAATTGAGCTGCCCATTTTCACAATGTTCAAGCGAAGAGCAAAAAAGAGCCAGAAGGCTGGAGCTGGGTGGTGGCGCTGGTGGAACAGTGGAGAAATGCCGCAAAGGCGAGCAAATAAAGTGAAGGAATTCAAATATTTGGCCAAAATGCGTCAAGTTTTTACTGGGCCAGCTCGAGGACAGTTCTGAGCTGAACTGCGCAACATTAGCCCCTCGAATAGCTCTCCACTACAAAAAAGAAAAAAAGAAAATAAGGCACGCACAGAAGGAACAAAATATTTGCACCCGAATCCCCCTCGAATCGCTCGCATTGAACTCTGACGAATTTCGTAACGCTGCGAATTTAATAAAGTACAGCTATGCAAAACACTTGCGCCAGTGGGGCAGCGCGGGGCCACATCAAAGCGGGCTCTGGCCAGGGGCCAAGGACACAACTTGTAAAGCTTGGGTGCTTTGAAAAAGGTTTATTTAAAGTATATCGAATCTATGCTGGTGTATTGCACTTAAAGTATGTTGGTTTGTTGTTGTTCGGGTGGTTCCAATGGAGTCGTCTTAGATCTGGACTGGGCCGGCTGCTACTGCGGCTGCAGTGGTGGCAGCCAGACGTGCCTGCCACTCGTCATCGATGAGCTTCAGGTCGTTCTTGGCGGTGGTCAGGGCGGGCTTGACGCAACGGATCTGCAGCCAGGGCAGCGTCGCGGTATTGCAGTTGGCGAACGCGAGCTCGGCATTGGCCAGCACATCGAGGACGCGCTCGGACAAGTCGGCGGGGAAATTGGGCTGGTTGAGCAGACGATCTGCCTCCTTCTGCAGAACTATGGACTGGAAGAAGGAGGAGACAGAGAAGCCGCCAAAAGGCGCTGCCGCTGGTGGTGCGACGGCAGCAGGTCCGGCCGGAGCTCCACCAACAACGGCACCCGCTCCGGGCGCAGCTCCACCAAAAACTCCATTCAGATATGGATTAAATGCAGCCGCGAAAGGATTGGCACCCGCAAAGGGACCAAAGGCCTACGAAAAAGAATTCCTCAATCAGTCAAAATGCCAAAAAGGTGTCTCAGCTTTATTGATTTACCTGGGCATTGATGCAAGCGACGCTGGCGACGAGTAAAACAATTGCGAATTTCATTTTAAGGCGATTCGATTCGTTTTGTTCTGAGTTGGGCTCAGTCGTAGTAGTTTCAGAGAGACTAATATCTGGTCAGGCATTGGAATGGTCTTATATACACATAATTAGCCTGCAATTCAGCTCGCTTATCTTGGCCCTGGCAATTGAACTGATTTACATGCTCTAATGTTTGTTTATCAAATGTAGCGGCGTAATCCCCATTTCTAGGGCTTATCTATTAAGATAGTGGCAAAAGCTGAGCGGATCGCAAAAATTGTCGAGTCACTAAATGACGTCAGGTTTCATACATAATTTCTAATATTATTATTAATCATATCCTTTTTACTTTCTCTTTCCCTCTCCCTCTCTCTCTCTTTCAGCCTCTTTCTCTCTATCTCTGCCTCTCTCTCTCTCTCTCACACACACACTCTCTCTCTATCTGTCTTCCAGAAATAAAATTTGCAATGATTCATAATTTGTTTTTTATTTACAGCTTTTTCTGCAAGTAAACAAATACAAAGAAATGAGAATACTGAGTAAACAAATTAATTAAAAACTATGCAAATATCATGATATTTMCAGAATATTTTTGAGATAGAAATTTACATATTTAAAAAAAAAAAATTATATGCATATAATTATCATAGCCAGCGAATATAGAAAAGAATACAATGTGTAACACTTTTTCGTGTTTTTTTCATCATTTGTTGATATCTCTACGTGCTTAACACAAAACAGAAAACATATATTTATCTATGCATGTGGCTTATATATGCACGCTGATAAAAAGACAAACAAACAAAATTATGGATTAAAAATAGATTTTTAATGATTCGGCAGGCTGTTAACTTAACATTTGAGTAAAAGAATTCATAAACTAACAGCCTGTTTTCAATCAAATTGCCGTTGGGTTCTTGCAAGCTTGACAAATATTTGAATTTTACAGCTCTTTAATAAGCTTTCAGCAGTAAGTCTACAGAAACTCAAAAGCTTTAACCAGAAATTTTTGTAATTTGCACTTAAACTCAAAGGTGAAAAATGACAAGATTGTGTATAATATTTTCGTTCGGCTAAGAATATTACTAAAAAAATATTAATTTATTATTAATATTCATTWCAAATTAAAATTCTCGCGCCAAAATAAATATCGATTGTTTTACCATAGTGAGCGACTGTTAACCCGATATGGCTATGTTAACTAACATAAGTGTATTATGTTAACGCAAAGTGAGCAGCTAATGAACAGTATCGGTATCGATGTTTATGGCATCACTAAAATTTTTGTACACAGCAAAAAATCGATTTAGTTCGACGAGGAAAAACGACCCCCGCGTCCAACACACCAGCCCCAAGCCAGAGGGAGATTAGTAGTAGTAACGACAGTCCTTCAAACATTACGCAGTCAATCGTCGGGCAATACTCCAAGGTTTGCCCAGCAGAGAGTAAAAGAAAAAGAAGTGTGAAGATAACACAGAACGTGCAGCGCAAACAAAACGAGTGAAAGTGCAAAATTATAACATAAATCTATGCTACTGGCGTTTTCAACAATTTCTTCCAGCCAGTAACAGCCTCAGTCAACGTCAGCCCCCGTAGCACCCAGCACCGAGAATCGAGCGTTTCCACCCCCAACAATAAAAAAAAAGAGTGCACGCCGCGTAAGTCGTCCAAACGTTAAAAATAGATACGCATCGTAGTTGGGCAGAGAAATCAAAATCAGTTGGTTTTTTTTTTTATCATTTACTGATAGTTTGTGGGTTATTAAATAAATTGAAGCATTAACAGGCAAGTCAACTAACTCAAACCCGTTCACAGCAACCGCGTCGTTGACATCGAGCCACACAAGCCCCAACAACAACAACAAAAACAACAGCAACACGATGGCGTTCGCTGGACTAAAGAAACAGATCAACAAAGCCAACCAGTATATGACGGAGAAAATGGGCGGTGCGGAGGGCACCAAGCTGGATATGGACTTTATGGATATGGAGCGTAAGACGGACGTGACCGTGGAACTGGTGGAGGAGCTGCAGCTGAAGACCAAGGAATTTCTGCAGCCAAATCCAACGGCGCGTGCCAAAATGGCCGCCGTGAAAGGCATCTCGAAGCTGTCGGGACAGGCTAAGTCCAATACGTATCCCCAGCCTGAAGGTCTGTTGGCTGAATGCATGTTGACTTATGGTAAGAAGCTCGGCGAGGACAACAGCGTGTTCGCGCAGGCGCTCGTCGAATTCGGCGAAGCGCTGAAACAAATGGCCGACGTCAAGTATTCGCTGGACGACAACATCAAGCAGAACTTTTTGGAGCCCCTGCATCATATGCAGACCAAAGACCTTAAGGAGGTCATGCACCATCGAAAGAAGCTGCAGGGCCGGCGTCTCGACTTTGACTGTAAACGTCGCCGACAGGCCAAAGATGATGAAATTCGTGGTGCTGAGGAGAAGTTCGCCGAGTCATTGCAGTTGGCGCAAGTAAGCATGTTCAATTTATTGGAGAACGATACTGAACATGTCTCACAACTCGTGACCTTCGCTGAAGCACTTTACGATTTTCACTCTCAGTGCGCCGATGTACTGCGTGGCCTGCAGGAGACGCTACAGGAGAAACGTGCCGAGGCTGAGAGCCGGCCACGCAATGAATTTGTGCCCAAGACGCTGCTCGATCTGAACTTGGACGGCGGTGGCGGCGGCCTCATTGATGACGGCACGCCGTCCCACATTAGCTCGAGCGCCTCGCCGTTGCCCTCGCCGATGCGCTCGCCCGCCAAGTCAATGGCCGCGACACCGCATCGCCAGCAGCAGCCATGCTGCCAGGCCCTCTACGACTTCGATCCCGAGAACCCAGGCGAACTGGGCTTCAAGGAGAACGACATCATAACGCTCCTCAATCGCGTCGACGACAATTGGTACGAAGGTGCCGTCAATGGCCGAACCGGCTACTTCCCCCAGTCGTACGTGCAGGTGCAGGTCCCCCTGCCCAATTAGATTGCCTGCATGTTGATCATAATAACAAACTGAATGTTGGTTTCGCAGCTTGGCACATAGTATAAATGCAAAAAGAGATGCAGACAATTGTAGATGGTTATATATGGTTAGAGTTACGATTACGGCTTAGCTAGCACAGCACCTTCATGTGGCCATAAAAACATCTATTGAAACGGCGCAAATGCGAAACAAAAAATAATAAAACAAAAAAAAAAAAAA